TAGGTAATGGTGTACCCGGGTAGGCTTCGTGGTCAACGGTCAAACAGGGGCAGATTGGTGTTATGTTTGTTGGGGAGGGTAAATTTTCGAAATAGTTTTGAATGAAGGGCAATTTGGTAATTAGTTATTAATTAAGGGTCATAAGGGTCAAAAAGCCAGATTTTTTCTTTTTCTTTTGTGTTAACGGAAGGAAAATTCTTGGCGAACAAGGGAGCTTGGCCGAACATGAAGGGAATTTCAAGATATCTTCATGGCCTACGTGTCGCATATGCAAAGAGGGTTTCAGATTTTTGGTTGACACTTGGTTTAGGATAAGATAACAAATAAATCGAAATTCCCCTCTTATCCTAGGCGTACATGTGGAGAAGAATTGAGAAGGTAGATATTGCCATGTGGTTGATTCTAGACCAATAGTAGGCGGACCTATAGGTTTAGTTTGGGATGAGATAAGTAATCATGTGGAGAAAGTTCCTTGGGCCGATTTATGCCTTACATTTAAGGCTTGGGCCGTGGCCCTAAGTAGAAAATGGGTTCAAAATATATAAGTCCCATTGCTCTCCTATTTTGGGAATTACCCTTGACTTATTATTTTATGTACCTCCAATCATTAACTAAGGATTTATTCTTTGTAATAAAATTACTCACATACTTTTAATGAGTACTCATATAATTCTAAGTAGTATCATACTTTCTATGTGTTATAATTAATTTATTCCCATACTTATAACTATAATCTCACATGCATAAAATAGGTTCTCACTTTCCATTGTAATATCAATAATTCCCTAATTTAATTTAACTCTAGCCTAAAGTAAACATTCATATAATCCGAAGGCAAGTACTCTACCACATTCCTAATTGCAATTTAAATAGGTTCCTAATTAGACGGGATGTTACAGTATTTATAGCCAATTAACCATTGAACACACAGTATTAACTTTAATTGCTACGCTTAGCATTTTAATCCCAAACTCAGGATCCTTAACCTACTCGATTTTACAAGAATTATCATATTTTTATTATATTTTTCGGAGCACCTTTTCGGTACGCGCTTTTCATAGCCAGTCTTAGTTTCTGGTACCAGTTCTCATTATTTTAACTTGAAACTTGAAATCGCAGTCCTACATATTATTCTAGGAATATTCATGCACTTCTTATAATTTTCCGGGATACTTTATCGGTACGCATTTATACCGACTAGCAGAACCAGTATTTGCGCTTTTCGTCAAAAAACGACTTTCAACATTATTACTCACTTACTATAATTATTAAAGCCTCATAATAATTATTAGGGTCAATTATGAAATTATTTCCTAATTCTCATATTTAATCAATTAATTTTCTTAATTAACGGTGCGGGTTCTTACACCTTCCTTTTAAACCTAGAGTGAGGAAATGTATCAACCCTTGCGGTTTAGGGTAAGCTTTAATTCGAAATAGGAAATCTTCAATTTGCTAACTCTAAAGGCAAATTGTGACACCCTCCCCTGTATGCATCCAAGAGAGTTGTCTGCTAAGCGGATTAGAGTCGTAATGTTACGAATAAATTTTGCAATTTCGTTTTGAAGTCTCGTTAAAATTTTGTATTCAAATCTGGTCAAAAGAAATTAAAACAGTGTGAAAACTTGGTGAAATACATGGCTTGCTGAAATAATCGTTTTCCTGAAAAACCTGTCTTCGTGCAAAAATCATAATAAATCGTGCTTTCATAATTTCATTGTAAAATTTATATAATCAGAAACTAGACACGTGGGGCTTCGCGCGCATGTAAATTATAAGCAATTCGGAGTGCTGTAGCCCCACTAAATATAACTCGCTAAGTGCTCGCAAAACAGTTTATGAAACAACATTTAAAACGTTTAGAAATTATTTTTCGCAAAACGCATTCAGAATCTTCCAACGTTCAAACTGACCATAAAACCTTAAAAATGACAATTAAAATATGTTCTAACAGTAGTCCAAGTTCCCAAAATATTACATCAAAATATCATCAGCCAACATTCATGAATAACGCAAACAACAGCCAAAATCCCAAACAGCAGCAGTAAACAGCAAATAAAACGTCATCATATGCTTTTTCGTCCTCCTGCAATTTTATAAAAATTGAGCCCCAAAAGGGGTGAGAAAAATCCCAGTAGTATGATAGCAAAACCAATAATGCAACAGTATTAAACTAGGCACAGAATTCCAAAACAGTCGCATCAACATTTTAACCCCAAACAAAATGACTATTATTAACTCGTTATCAGTGAGCAGTCCATGGTTTCTCAACCCCAAACAAAATCGATTTTAAACAACAAAAGTTATAAGGGATTTTATTCAATTTTTCAATCAAGCTACCTATGGTGTGCTAAGAGGGAATATACAACATGCTGTCCTTTTAATTTACCAAAGAATAACAGTGAAATTTCAACATACAGAATCGGTTTTCTATCATTTACTAATGCCCAAAAAAATTCATTCATTTACATGACATTTTCCATATGACAAAAGGGAATGATAAAGCTTCAATATGCTGTCAAAAAAACTTAAGCACATACCAATTTTACTAACACTAAGGTGCGCTAAAGAGGGCCTAAAACATGCTGTAAATCCATTTTAATTCAAGTAGAGCTTGAAGCATAAAAGAGGTCCAACCCAAAACAGTCCCACACTTTTATTTAAAGGCCATTTCCAAGTTCACATTCAAATTTCTTTTATGTTTTCAATCAAGGGTCCAAGAGGTTCAATAGGCAGAAACGAGGAAGATGGATTATGTTCCCACTGATGATAACCTAGCCGATTCTCTAACGAAGGTTGTTTCTAAGAGAAAACATGATAGTCATTATGAGGCTTTGGGTATACGTCTTAGGTCTGATTGGCTCTAGGCCAAGTAGGAGCTTGTTAGTATATGGATGTCCTAGAGAGGTTACCTCAATATGTTCCTCCATTTAGCTCCATAGCAGCTTATTTTCCAAACTTGTTATTCAACAGAATGCCTACACAGAGGACATTCCCAATTACTCAAAAACTCATACAACACATGCCAATTTACAATTATACATGCATTGATCCAACCATTTACCTCAATCCACTTGGTCCTGGACCAAGGGCAATCCACCGACTCACAGTTCGGGCTTTAAATCGACGTACGGCAACCTACATATCCATGTGCAAATCGTCAGTACACGACAATTCTATCAAAACGCGAAAAACGTCAAATTCCTACACCCACACTAGGTAGGTTCGGCCAAACAAGGCTAAATTCCAAATTTATTTTTCTAAATTTTCTTTCTCATTTTATTATACCAAAAGGCTAAATCAAGTGCCGTTTTTCCATTTTACGTCTTTTAAGCATCGTTTTGCTTAATAATTCACTCTAGGATCCTTTATGACCCTAAACACCATTTATCATTTTTCATTGATTCTTCCACTTTCCAACCACCACACAACCCATTTAAACATCATTCAACACTTGAAACATCATCCAATCAATACAAACAACCTCAAATTCCTAAAACTCTCTAAATGGCCGAATTGTGACCTATGTAATACCAATTGAATTCCTTCAATTTTCAACCCTTCCACCCTTCACACAATACCATTATATCCACATATAATCATCCAACAACTCACCACTAAAATCCTAACACATTTTCCAAGTTCAAAGTCATGACACCTCAAAATATTCTAAGTTACAAAATCATATTATTCACCTAAAATTTTCATTGCATTTATGTCTAATATACATTATTCTAAGACACATTCATGTAAAACTTTTTCCAATTGAGCTCTCTAACATCACACATCAACAATTCAAGGTTTAGGGTTCATAAACATAATCTACAATTAAACCATGTAAATGGGGTGGAAACATACTCACAACCAAGGCTTGATACTCCTCCAAGACTTATCCAAGCAATGGAAGGCCAAATGACTCCATGAACATCAATTTTTCTCCAAATATTCGCAGCTGACTTTGGCCAATAACTCACCAAGGAGAGGGTTTCAAGGTTAATGGATACCACCAATGTGTTTGGAAGGTTGTTTCCAATAAATTTCAACACAAACTTTGCTAGATTTGGTAGAGAAATGAGTGATTTAAGTGAGAAGAAAGTTTGAAGAAAAATTTGGGGGAAAGAGGGGGAGGGCGCGGGTTTTGCAAGGGGAAAGGGAAAAAAGATGATGATGAATAGTGAGGGATGATGTGGTTTAAGTGAAATTTGAGTGGGATGGGTCCCACGCCACCTCACGCGATTTGAAACTCATCCGAATTTCCCTAAACGTCCGTGAATTCACAACTTAGTTAGAAACTCTAATTTTTAACATTAACTATTGTCCTTTAATTATATTTGATCAGATGAATCCGGAGTTTTTCGGTCATTTGGAGAAAACACTGTTTTAAGCTGTTACGCACGCTATTTTAAGAGTAAATACTCTTTTTGGTCCTCAGAAAATTTCACGAGGCTCGTTTTAGTCCCTAGAAAATAAAAAGGCTCATCGTGGTCCCTCAAAAATTCAAAAAGATCCATTTAGTTGAAATCGTGGTCTCGTAAATTCAAAAAAGACCCATATTAGCCCTCAAAAGGACTAAAATGGGTCCAATTTAAATTTTTTAGGGACCACGATGGGCCTTTTTATTTGCTAGGGACTAAAATGGGCCTCGTGAAATTTTCTGAATACCAAAAATGGTATTTGCTCTATTTTTAATTTAAAATACTAAATAAAACTGTATTTTCATAGAGTTAACAAGTAGGGATGTGTTTGCGGATAAAAAAGAGAGTAGGGATGTGAAAGCCATTTTATTGAACTCAAATAAAATAAGATTTAATATTTTATTTTTATTGCAGAAATTATTTATTTACTACATTCATGTAAAAATAAACGAGTCTCATCAATTTTTTTTCGAACGACTCATTTCTTTACGTAGCAGATAAATATTTTCTCTTCGGAAATAATTTTCCCAATAAATAAAGTGAGAATACAAGAGCAATAGCTGGCAACAAGTGGGGAAGCAAGGTATTTTCCTATTCCAAATTCGATTAGAGTTGGGGTAGACTCGTTCTCACTCCGCGCAACGCAATAGCTGTAGTGACCCATATTCAACACTCGCAGTTGCAGATGCTGAACCAACGACAACTAGAAGAGTACCTCGATGTTCTGACCAATTCCGGTCACAAAACCGGGATTTTCAAGCCCAGGTAAATTCATCACAACACATCTCAAAACAATAGCATTACCATTACTCGTCCTATATATAAATAAGAGTAACTGTGTGTGCTTGTGTGTTTAGAGGAGAAGTTCATCGAGAGGGGGATTACCATCGTGCTGTACACGTTTGGATTTTCGCTGAGAGCACGCAACAATTGCTCCTCCAACGGCGTGCTCGCTGTAAGGATTCTTGGCCTGACCTTTGGGATATCTCCAGCGCTGGTCACATATCTGCTGGTGATTCCTCCCTCGTCACTGCTCGGTATGCTAATTTATACAATACCATTTCTGTCCCCTCCAATAAACAAACTTCATTTCCTAATGCTATACACTTACCTCAAATTACACCTCCTCCTCCCTTAGTTTGCTGTTCGCAACAGAAAATAGTGTATGGTGTCAGGGGTAAAAAAGGAATGCTAGTGTGATTTTATAAACTCGAGGGAGGAGGAGAACTCCCTTTAGTTTTGTTAGAGATGGAATATAAAATCATATCCTATAGAGATTGCATTTCTGATCAAGTGTGTAGTGTTGTTGTGTGGTTGATTTTGCAGGAGGGAGCTCGAAGAAGAGTTAGGTGTAACCCTTCCCAAGGATGCATTCGAATTGATATTTATTTTCCTCCAAGAGTGGTAAGTAGTTTTTGGTGTATTTCTGTCTACAATATTGAGGGAGTGGTGAAAGTCAAAATTGGCTGCACAAAGGTCCCACCTTGATGCGCCTACATGAGGGTAAAAACAAAAAAATGGTCTTTGATGCGGAAGCATAGACAATCTATGCGCCTCATGTTTTAGGATCTGCCCGTTAAACATGTAGGGTTTAAAATTCATACCTTTTTCACTTGAAGGTGTCAAAGTGGATGACTCCCTCTAACAGTAATCCACACGACTACCTCTTGGTTGCTTCTGAGAAACGCTTTCTCCCTGAACCCTCCCTTTCCTTGGAAGCTCGCTAGGCTGCGGCAAGGTGGAGGCTTTCAAGTGTTTTTGTTTATTTTTCTCAAGAGTGTAATGTTGTCTTGAGGTTAGGTGAGAGGACCAATAATGGAGGAAGAGAGATGAAGAGAAAGAGGGGCGGCCAAAAATTAGGATTTTTAGTCCAGAGAGGCGGCCAAAAATTAGGATTTTTAGTCCAGCAAAAGACGTTACTTTAACGTGGTTCAGCAAATCCCTTAATCAGCATTAAGAGATGGACGTTACATTAACGTTTCCTCATCAAATCCCTTAATCAGCATTAAGAGATGGACGTTACATTAACGTTTCCTCATCAAATCCCTTAATCAGCATTAAGAGACAAACGTTACATTAATATAATTTTATTTAAATTCATAATTCAAATAAAATAGAAATAATAAATCTCTATCTAATCATATTAGATACAGATAAGGATAACTCAAAACTATCCTTAATTACCTAACCTCTTGAATTTAAATAAAATTAAATTCGATTTTATCCTAGCCCGCAATTTCAATTTGAATTCAAATTCGAAATTCGAAAATTCAAAATTCGAATTGCGCCAAAAACTTATTTTGGCCAAGTCAACTATTTGACTTGCTAGGATTCATGGCCCAATACCGTATTGGGCCTACTAACACATTTGGGCTTATTAATAGAAAAATTAATCTTTCACTAATAGTCCAAAGGCGCATGATGATATTGGACTTGGAGTTCAACTCCAACCCAATTACACCTATAGTCTTGAAAAACCCAATAACACCTATTGGTCCAAACTTGCTAAATGTAAGCAATCAAGAATAACCTTAGTGTGTGACCCATTAGGCTCAATTAGTCACTGACATAAATAAACTTGAACCAATTAAACTCTTTTAACAGGCCCAATTTATCTAATGACCACATAAGACACTAGCAATGCTCTACAGCCCCAGAACTAATTGAGTTGATCAAGTGATCTACCTTTTTAATTTGGATACCGTGCCGGTATCATCCCTCTCAACGTCATTCACATTTAGTCGAGAGCAAGGATAGAGTATCATCTCTCTTTATTGACTAAATATAATATTTCACAGGAACTAGGAATCTTCTTCCATTGACTCTAAGATAGATCATGACTCTTCATGATCTCTTACTATGCATAGATTCCCGAGTCAACTAGAAGTCATCCAAGCCCTACCGGTCTTGTGAACGACGAATCCCTTATAGGGGATTGTGAAGTCCTTTCGGCATGTTCATCTATACTCATTTATTCGAGTCATACCCAAGAGTACACTGTTCTCCCCATTTTTCAGGCGGATAAAGTTGTACAATCAAAGTATAACTCTAGGAAATAGTATTCGATGACATCCTTAAGTCTAGGACGATCTGCACTACCAAACGATGAGAGACTTTACAAATCCAATGATACTCTCTATAATGAATCCTTGTGGAGTCTCTCGGTGGGTCAGTTCAGTGCTATCTGTTCTCTAACAGATCCACCCACGACATCACCTAAAGCATCACCATGCCTGCATTCCATGAGGTTCCTACCTCGTATCTTTATACAAGTAAATGACGTCGTACTAGTCTTATTGAGATCACCAATACCCTTTCTTGGTGATTCAAGACCAGGAACAAATTTTAGATAATAGACATACAGTGTCCTCGAGTTCTCATGATCATGATCCCTATCATACCCGAGTGAACACCTGTTCTATTCATAGGGTCTTTATCTTTGTTCACATATTAACAATAAAATATTGGCGAGACATAAATATGATAAAGATAAAGTTTGCTCAAATTTATAAATCATGAAATACCACTTCGAAAAAGGTGTTCATCTGATAAAACAGATTGTCTCTTGGACACCTATATACTAACAAGTGGTTGGTTTGAGTTTTTATTTTCAATTTTACGTTTTCATTGTAATTAGAAAACTGCTTCCTTGCTTTCATTTTATTTTTTCAAAATTTCCTTGTTGTCACCATTTACTTCTGGAAAATTTGTAATAGAAAACCGAATGTAAACAAGATGGTGTTACGAGAAGGGTATTCATAAGAGAAGTACAGCTGTACAGAGCAGCATTAGTTTAGTGAAGGTTACATGCTAATTGTAAAGTAGTTATAGGTGTTATGTGAAATAAGGTGAGCTGTGAGGTTAGTTACAAATTAGTTACAGAGCCTCACTATTGTAGATAGCAGTATAAATAGAGATTGGTGTACAGATTTGGCTCATTCTGGAATAATAATCATTGTTTGTTTTTCTTTTTCTCTTTTCTAGCTCTCTCTGTTAGGTTGAACCCTAACAAATGGTGCTTTCATTCTTGAACACCAGACAAGATTCCAAGATGCGAGTTCAAGATCTCGCTGAGCAATTCACTGTTTTTCAGCACAGAGTGGTTGCTCGCCTTGATGATCATCAATCGCAGCTGGCTCGCATTGAAACACATTTTGATGATACTCAGAACCAAATGGCAATGATTGTGGCGCAACTACAACAACTCAATAGCACTGTTCTTGCTATTGCTGCTCGCACTCTCGAACCTCAACTTCGCACTCAATCGATTCATTCGCAAATTGGTGCAACTTCTTCGCTTGCTTTGACGAGAGGATACGCAGCGATCAGGAACTTGTCCAATGGCGGATTTGGCGGCACCAACACCACCACTGCCACCTGTCAAATGCAGTCCATCGGTGGCGTTTTCGAATCCTTATACTCTGCGCTGCTCAATGACAATCTGTCTCCGTCAACAACCATCGGCAACAATGGCGATGGCGTCTCACTTCACCAGTATGAAGTCTTGAAGTACACCATCGATTCATCAGAAAGAAGAGTAAAAGAGCCATCTTCTGCAAAAAAGAGCACATTGGAAATAGTGCACCACCACAACATGTGTCTCAGCCGCCTCGTTGCACCTTCGAACTTGCAACTTCGCGATCTGACCTCGGTGCGGCAGAGGCAGTTGAGCCTCTTGATGCTCACGAATCATTTCGGCAATACGTCGCCGTTTGATCTGACACATTGGTTTGGTGTTGACGTGGACAGACTCTCATTGCCAAGGAGCATATCTGTGAGGTCGACGGGCTACTTGAAGATGGCTCAGTGTGCGGTCGTTGCTAGCCATAATCCTTGTCGCATTAAGGGTATTCTTCTCACAGCACGGGATATTGTCCACCATGATTGTAGGTCCCTTCAGTGGGCAAAATGCCTTATGCATCCGTTGGCCTTCACAATTCTTCCAATGGGATCCAGGAGACGGGTATTTGTGACTGAACCTCCTAGACCTTGAGGACAAGGTCATTTTTGAAGAGGTAGGGAATGTTACGAGAAGGGTATTCATAAGAGAAGTACAGAGCAACATTAGTTTGTAGTGAAGGTTACATGCTAATTGTAAAGTAGTTATAGGTGTTATGTGAAATAAGGTGAGCTGAGATTAGTTACAAATTAGTTACAGAGCCTCACTATTGTAGATAGCAGTGTAAATAGAGATTGGTGTACAGATTTGGCTCATTCTGGAATAATACTCATTGTTTGTTTTTCTTTTTCTCTGTTCTAGCTCTCTCTGTTAGGTTGAACCCTAACAAATGTGCCTCTTTTGTAATTATAAAGCATATCAACTGAAAATGAAAATTCAAAAAATAACATATCAACTGAAAATGAAAATACAAAAAAATAAACTAAGCACCCTCTAAGTTTTCCTTCAAGCTAAGCTAAGGGTTTGTTTAGAGGGGTCTATTTCATATATGAAGAGATACTGCTAAGTTGATTTTTCATTCTTTTTCAATTTATTGCATGCTCATAGGATTTTTTATCTTTAACTAATGCAGTTTTATCCTTTTGTTATCCATGGACTAGCTGATGCTAACTTTAAATATGGAATGCAGTGTCATAAATGATGGAAAATACATCAATAACGAATATAATGATGTGTATCTGGTAACAACTCTTGATCCTATACCTCTGGAGGCCTTTACACTTCAGGTAGGCCTTTACAGTTCAGGTGGGGATGTGAAATGTGTTTTCAAATTGGACTTTCTGTCAATTTTCCTTTGCATTTTTGTGTTTTTCTCTAAATATGTCGACCAGCTGACATATTGCTATTATTATTGCGTTACGTCTATGCCTGATTTTTGGTCTCTTATTAGAAACATGATACACCATGATCTGTTCACTTGTGGAGCTTGTCTTCATGGTTTTTCATTATTTGACAAATATAGCTTGTTTTGGAAGTACTAGATTTGAGTATGCAGGTATGACATTTGTGGTTATTATATATTTGTTTGATTTAAAAATAATTTGGGGTTTATGCTTTGTAATTTTGGATTTGGGATTTTAATTATTAATAATTTGAGAATTTAAAATTAAGTTTGTGGGATATCTTACCCTTAAATCTTAACTTTAATTCTCTACTAGGATTTTAGATTCTTGAGTCTTAAGTTTGGGTTTCGTGTTCTAGTATAATAATAGAATCAGTGTTGTTTGCTTCTGTATTTAAGCCAAATGATATGTTTTGGGGATTTGAGCCTTATTGATGAATTTAAATATTGAGTATTCTTGTTTATTACTTGTTGGTCCCCATTCTTGTTGTACATCAATTTATGTTTTTCTCAGTAAGTGTATTTAGAGTGTAAGTCCTTGATCAAAGTTTTGTATTCAAAAAAAAAAAAAAAAAAAAAATCACTCTTCATTAAACCCCGACTATTGAGGGTAGGGGTGAGGACAATCTTTGTACGTAGTCTTACCCTTGCATATCTGCAAAAAGGCTGTTTTCGGGATTTAAACCCATGCTTTTCAGTCACAAAAGAACTCATATTTGCAAAATTTTGTTGAGTATTTCTTTGTAATTAATTCTTCCAGTACCTCGGAATTACTTTTAATTATGTGATGGTAGGAAGGAATGCTAGGAGAGACAAATTCCATAAAATTGTAGTCCATTTTTTTTTCTTTTGAAAATCAATAACATAAAGGTCTAATATCATTTGTTGAAGCCAGAATTATGCAACAGTTCACTCAGAGTCATGTTATTTCATTGAATATGTTACATGTCAATTCTATTTATGTTTTTTTTTCCCTACTGTAATCATTGAATTCCTCTAGATACAGTAGTATCATTATAATTCTCGGGGTAGTATTCTATAAGACAATAACCGGTTGACAGTTACATAATTTTTCCTCTCTCTCTCTCTCTCCCTGTTTCTATTCCCTTGAGTGATTGTAGACAAATGATTGTTTTTTGACATGCTAATCTAATTCCATACCTCTCCTTCATGTCTTTCGTATGCACATGCATGATTTGTGTAATTAAGTTTCTTGATCTTTGTGAGGAAATCTTTTTTCGTTGGCAGGAAACAGAAGTTTCTGCTGTTAAATACATCTCTTATAAAGAGTATAGAAGTTTACTGGCTAAACAAGATTCAGACTATGTCCCTTATGATGTTAATGGACAATATGGTCAGCTCTTTGATATAATTGAAAAGAGGTATGTTATTATTTGAGATATGCATGATGCAAAATTTCTTATTTGTAAAGCAAACCTCTTTCATTCTATGATTACGCTAGTAAGAAATTATCATTTTTCTGATTTGATTCCTTGTACTAGTATATAACTTCACTCAGCTCAGATGGTCATGCTGTTTTCTCTCTTTTTATAAACTTAATTTTATTGGATAGACAAGGAGTGAAATACAGCTGGGCATAGTTATCAATCCTGGATAGCACATGGAGCGCCTGGCTTTAGAATGCTTTAGCGGGTTAGCGGGGGTGACCGGTTGATGGCACCCAGATATTCAATAATGGAATATGCTAGAAATATATTGTAATTAGTATTTTTCTTATTTCATTAGGGATTTGTATTAGGTCTGATTGTATTAGATTTGGGCTTAGTCCATTAGTATGTCTATACATTGTACATTCCTATTCATATCAATGCACACAGTTTATTTCAATGTTCCTCTCTTTTCTTTTTATTTAACATGGTATCAAGAGCCTAAGGAACTTTGAATTTTTTTTTTTTCCCGGTGAACCCACTGTTCATCGTCTTTTAATTTTTTTTCCGGAACTGTCTCGCTGTCAGTTTCCGGTACGTTTTCTTCCGCTTTTAGGCTTCTGTCTACGTCAACCACCACCATCCGGTGGAGTTTTTCGGTGAACCGCATACCGGCGTGCTCGTCTTGGAAGCACCCTCGTCAACCACTAACCAACGGCGCCGGCCGCACCTCCAACGGACGTCTCACGCGCCCTCACGCGCGCGTGAAAGTTCCGGTTCTCTCCTCCACCAAGGCGGCGCGTGGAGGTTCCTTTCCGGCCGTGGCTGGTTGTGTTCTCCTCGTCTCCCTGTGACGGTTCTGGATCTGGTCCTGGTTTTGCGTTTGGACTTCGTTTTGTGTTGACGCACAGATCCCTCTTCTACCGGTTAGTTGTGTGATCTGTCTTTTTGATTATTTTTCTACTCTTGATTATGGACTCTCCTATCTCCACTGTTTCAGGGTCTCCAGCTGGACAAAAGTCGGAGTATACTATTTTTTCAAATTATATTCTTACTCCGTTGAGTGTGGATAAATTGGATGGATCCAACTATGATACTTGGTCATCCGATTTGCGCCTTTGGTTGGAAGGACAAAATTATACATCCCATCTCACCACTAAGGCTGAATCTGTGGCGGCCACTGAGCGCACACGATGGAAGATGATTGATGCTCAGTTGTGTAGTCTCATTAAGGCCACTCTTCATCCGTCAATTAAGCAGATTTTTCGACCTGCTAATACCTGTGAAGCTATTTGGAGTCAGGTAAAAACACTGTACACCAATGATACACAAAGACTCTATGGTGTGTCAGAAATTGATGACTACCTTTGCTCCTCGGGACTTCAATTGTCCTATGACTGAATATTTGGGGAAAGCTCAAAGTTTACTTCATGACCTTAACGAACTTTTGCCTCTCACTGGTGATGTTACTAAGGAACACGAACAATGTAATACACTGTTTATGTTGTTCATTTTATATGGTTTGTCTGACTATTTGTCTGCCAATCGGGATCAAACTTTGGGATCTGCTACAGTTCCTACACTGGATTCCGTGATGTCTACCTTGCTTAGGATTCCTTCTAAGCCCACTACGTCACCAGCACCTCCTATGATGCATATACCTCCAGTGGATTCTGTTGACTCTTCCGCTATTGCTGCTCAAGGGTATGGTCGTGGACGTAAATTCTCTAAAGGCAAGCTATTATGCACTCATTGTCATCAGACCAATCATACTGTTGACCGCTGTTGGAAGCTTCATGGAAGGCCACCTCTACCTCCTCGGAATGCTCATGTTGTTCAGTCTTTCTCTAGTACCTCTGCTCCAGGGTTACCTTCCGGTGCACAACCTCCAGCAGCACTTCTTAACGAATTTGTGACTTGGTGGTCTGAGAAGCAAACATCAGGTCCTACTGCATCTATTGCTCCCACTGGTAATTCTTTTGCTGGAATCTCTCAGTTGCACTCTATAGGCCCTTGGACTCTTGATTCTGGGGCTTCTGATCACATTTCTGGTAATAAGTCCTTATTCACTTCCCTTTTTACTATTGGTTCTTTTCCCACTATTACTATGGCCAATGGGTCTCTGGTCCAATCACGGGGGATTGACACGGTTTTTCTTTTACCTATTTATCTCTGGATCATGTTCTCTATGTTCTCGATTCTCTTTTTAACTTACTTTCTGTTAGTCATTTGACAAAATCCATTGACTGTGTTGTTTCTTTTACTAAAACCTCTGTCATCTTTCAGGATCGGAGTTCGGGGAAGGAGATTACCAAAGGATGTGAGTCTCAGGGCCTCTATCAACTATTTCCCTCTTCTTCAGCCTGCTCCACTGTGGATTCTCCTCTTACTATACATGCTCGTCTTGGCCATCCTAGTCTTGCAAAGCTTCAGAAGATGGTTCCACATTTATCTTCTCTTTCCAATTTAAATTGAGTCTTGTCAGTTTGGGAAACATACTCGTAGTACGTTCCCGAGTCGTCTTAGTCGTCAAGCTGTTTCTCCTTTTTCTGTGGTCCGCTCTGATATTTGGGGACCAAGTCATCATTCTTCTACTTTAGGATTTAAGTATTTTGTTACTTTTATTGATGATTATTCTAGATGTACTTGGTTATTTTTAATGAAAAATCGGTCTGAGTTGTTTTCTATTTTTCAGTTATTCTACAATGAAATAAAAACTCAATTTGGTATTCCTATTCGTACTTTTCGTAGTGATAATGCATGTGAGTACTTATCTCATCAATTTCAACAATTCTTTTCATCTCATGGAACTCTTCATCAAACATCTTGCCCTCATACACCCCAACAAAATGGTATAGCCGAGCGCAAGAATCGCCATGTGGTTGAAACCACTCGTGCTTTGTTAATTGATGGCAATGTTCCATACATATTCTGGGGTGATGCTATACTTACTGCATGCTATCTCATTAATCGCATGCCATCATCTGTTCTCAATCATAAGGTACCTCACTCTATTTTATTTCCCCATCAAGTTTTATATCCTTTGACTCCACATGTGTTTGGTTCTACGTGTTTTGTTCATTACCTTGGTCCAGGTTTGGATAAATTAGCTCCCAAGTCTCATAAATGTGTCTTTCTGGGTTATCCTCGGTCTCCAAAGGGTTACCGTTGCTACTCTCCAACTTTACGTCGATACTTTATCTCGGCAGATGTTTCCTTTTTTGAATCAGTTCCCTTTTTTGGATCCTCTACTACTCTTGTGGACACTGATTCTGTACAGTCATCTTTCCCAGTCGACTCTTTTGAATACCTTCCGTCTTTACCAGTCCATGTTTCTGACTCTCCTTCTATCACCTCCTCTCCTGATGAGATCGAACATAGTTCGTCAGATGTATCTGTGGACTCACATTCAACTGCATCTCCTCCCTCGGTTTCGGTCCCACCTTCGGATAGTGACCTCCCCATTGCTCTTCGTAAGGGTACTCGTGATACTCACCCTCCGGCCAGGTATACAGTCAATATTAGTTACCATCACCTTTCTCCATCATATTTTGCATGCCTTTCCTCTTTGTCCTCTGTATCTGTTCCTAAGACTACAAGTGATGCACTTTCACATTCGAGATGGAGACAAGCCATGATTGATGAAATGAGTGCTCTTCATCATAATGACACATGGGATCTGGTTCCTCTTCCTTCTGGAAAATCTGTGGTTGGTTGCAGATGGATTTATGCTGTTAAGGTTGGACCTGATGGTCAAGTGGATCGTCTTAAAGCTCGCTTGGTGGTAAAGGGTTTCACTCAAGTGTTTGGATTGGATTTTATTGATACTTTTTCTCCTGTGGCGAAAATGTCTACTGTTCACCTCTTTATTGCCATGGCTGCTATTCGCCATTGGCATCTCTACCAACTTGATATCAAGAATGCTTTTCTCCATGGTGATCTTGAGGAGGAAATTTATATGGAGCAACCTCCTGGATTTGTTGCTCAGGGGGAGTCAGGTCTTGTTTGTCGTCTTCGTAAGTCTCTCTATTGCCTCAAACAATCTCCAAGAGCTTGGTTTGGTAAATTGAGCAGTGTTGTTTAACAATTTGGCATGACTCAGAGTGAAGCTAATCATACTCTCTTTTATCGTCATTCCGCTTCTGGATCTATTTACCTGGTGGTATATGTGGATGATATTGTCATAACAGGTAGTGATCGACATGGGATCACTCAATTGAAACAACATTTATGTCATTATTTTCAGACTAAGGATCTTGGGAAAACTTGATGAGAGCAAGGAGGGCGTTAATAGAAAACTTGAATTGTGGAGAAGCACATTGGAATCCAGAGGATTCACATTAAGTCGAAGCAAGACTGAGTATCTGAAGTGTGAGTTTTCTCTGGTACGAGATGAGGACCAAGAACCTGTGCATCTAAATGGTCAAGAGGTACCCAAAAAAGATGCTTTTAAATACTTGGGCTCCATTTTACAAAACGGTGGAGAGATTGATGAGGATGTAAATCACAGAATCAGAGCAGGGTGGATGAAATGGCGCAGTGCATCTACATTTTTGTGTGACCGCAAAATCCCCCTGAAGTTAAAAGGAAAATTCTATAAAACGGCAGTAAGACCGGCAATGCTATATGGAGCGGAATGCTGGCCAGCACATAGGCAACATGAGCATAAGATGGGAGTAGCAGAGATGAGGATGTTAAGGTGGATGTGTGGTTACACAAGGATGGATAAGATAAGAAATGAAGATATTCGACGAAAGGTCGGAGTAGTACCGGTAGCCGAGAAGATGAGAGAACATAGATTGAGGTGGTTTGGGCACGTGATGAGAAGACCCATGGATGCTCCTGTATGAAGTTTGTTACCAAGAGCTCAACACAAAAAGAGGCAGAGGTAGGCCGAAGCTTACTTGGGGGAAAGTAGTAAAACAAGATTTAATGGAGTGGGATATAGATTGGCGGACAGTATGTCTTAGAACGGAATGGAGAAAAGCTATAAGTATGGTGGAGGGTTAGACCCGCTGTTATTCCTATGTTCCAGATGGTCCCTTTTTAGTCCTTTTCCCCTTCATTTCCCCCACTTCTTCTTGTCCCTTTCTTTTTTACTTTTATTTATTTATATATACATATATTGTTATTTTATTTTATCTTATTTTATATTTTTATTTTATTTGTTTATTTTTGTTTATTTATTTATTTATTTTTTGCTTTTTTACTTTTTTACTTTTTACTTTTTTTACTTTTTTTTTATTTTTTTTAACTTTTTTTTTCAACCGTTTTGTATCTTTCATGTGGGTTCATCTACCACCGACCCCAATTAATTTGGGATAAAGGTGTTGTTGATGTAAGGATCTTGGGAAACTTCGATACTTCTTGGGAATTGAGGTTGCCCAATCCAAAGCTGGTGTTGTGATATCTCAGAGGAAATATGCTCTGGATATTCTTGAAGAAACTGCTATGTTAAATTTGTTAAGAACCCTTGGATACACCACTCCAAAAGTTAGCTCAAAGGGTGGGAGTGCCCAAGGCCTTATAAACCTCACATTAGTTGCCTATACAACCAATGTGGGATTATATTTTTCAACACGCCCCCTCACACGAAAGCCCACTGGGCTTGAAGGGTGGACAACATACAAGCCCACCAACATGTGGAAATTCCACTACAAAGAAAGTGGGAGGCGGTGAGATTTCGAACGCTCTGATACTTTACATACTCAAAGGTCACTCTTTTCACATCAAACACAAGAGGGTTGTTTGATTTATATACCTTTGGGCTTTGAAAACAGAGGAAAGAGAGCACTTTCAAAGCTTAGACTCTACTCCTTACTACTACCAAGTGATGTGCACGAATTTGGACCATAAAAAGCTTGCTTCTTTCACTTCAAGACACCTCACTACTCAATGATGTCTCAAGCTCTCAACATGAAGAGGAACCCACTCCTTGCTCAAAGGCAACAAACAAAATGTCCCAAGATGAGGCCTTTCCCCTTCCCAATGCTTGCTCTCTAGTGTTTACAAAGGTTTAATGGTGGAAAGGTGAGTAAAGGTGGTTCCTTGGGCTTGGTTTCATGGAGGAAGGCAATGGAGGCTATGGGGAAAGCATAGGGCAGCCTTGAAGAAGTGAAGATGAGGGTGTCTACGTGAAAATAGAAAAAAAATGAGAGTGAGTGACTAATCTAGGTCATTTAGGTAGACTGACTTAACTCAACCGATATAGACTCACGTGTCACATTCACTTAACCCTCACTTAATTTTGGACTACAGTGTCTTATAAATTTTATGAAATATTACCAACTAATTTATTTTAAGTTCCGGGTATTTTTCTATACACACTGTTTCTACCATGAAACACGCAGTATTATGATTTTTCACTGAAAAGCGATTTAATTTTAAATGATTAGAATTTCCTACAATATTAACATAAATATTTTGTTGTCATTTTAACTCCATAACATTTATGGATTAATAATCACTAATTATCTTTTAGAGTTTCCGGGTAATTTTGCTTACCTCACTTTTACCGCGAAACACTCATTATTCACACTTTTACATTAACAATGATTTAATTTAGATTAATCAGATTTTTCATCTAATAATCCTCTTTTAATTATTATTTAATTTCTAAAATCTCCATTTAACAGTGCGGGTTCTTATACTGCTACTGTTAACATCTGTCATTGTGCACATATCCGGAGAGTCTCAACAACAAACGAAGGGTTAGATATGAGCAAAGGAGATCCAAAAGAGCCAAAAAGTTTGAACTTTTAGGCAAAAACACAACAACATACAACCAAACAATGTCCGATTTGCAAAACAAGTACATATCTGGAAAGAGCAAGAAGAAGCGAAGCGAACGGCGATGGTTTGAGATGGAGAAACCCAGCTCCAATGGAGACCGAAAACAAGGGTTCCACACTAAAGGCTGTTGTCGCGGAAGCAAGGCTATCAGAGTCGAGTGCTTGATACTAACTTGGGAAAAGGAATTGTATATTGAATTGTATTAAACATGTAAGGTTCTCTATTTAAAGAGATTAAGTGACCTAATAGGCTAAGTCCAAAGAAGCTTCTAGAATAACCAAAAAGAATAAAAATAATTATTTACAACAATGTCCAATCGATACGGAGGCTAATGTACATGGCAGCCATAGATAAAAAAAGTCGAACAAATGCCATTTTTACAACAAGGAAAAATGTTTCACCATAATCAAATTTGGTTAAAGGCTTTGGTAACAAGATGAGCATTTGAAATTCAACAAAGAAGGTTATAGAGCAGTTAAGAGTGTGAGTAAATTGAATGATAGAAATAAAATTAAAGGGACAATGGGAATAAAAAGAACAAAATTCAAGTTTAAAGATGGGGGAGGAGTAGCTTGTCCAATGCTAGTGGTCTGAGCCTTAGAGCCATTTGCAAGAGCGATGTGTTGAGGAGGTTTGATGGTTGATGATTTTTAAATAGCTCCACAACATTCGAAAGAGTCAATGATTCGTATATAAATATAAGCCCTTTTATTTAGAACTATTAAGAGATATAAAATCATTAATGTAGCTTTACCCAACAATTTAAGCTTTTAGGTTGAATTGGTTCTTTACATTAGAGCCTCGTGTCCCAGGTTCGATCCTCGCCCCCCCCCCTCCCATTTTTTTTGTGAAATTTCTTAGCATAGGTAGGCTGGGCATGATGCATCATCCACCTTTCAAGCTCAATGAGCTCTCTTGTGAGGAGGCGTGTTAAAGATATAAAACCATTAATGTAGCCTTATCCAAGAGCTTAAGCTTTTGGGTTGAATTGGTTCTTTACAGAACCCTTGTAATTTTTTTTTTAAGCCAATGATAACTAGATCCCCAGGCAGAAAATGTATGGGGTTTCCCATCTTGGCTTTGAACAATCTCACTAGGATCAATTGATATAATTTCTTTGTTATCTTGAGATTCATATCTATCAGCCTTTGAATTTGCATCTGACGACCCGTCAAATGGCGATTGAACTTTCTAGGTGGAGGCATCTAGGTTAGCCTTCTTCTTGCAGCGAAGAATATCATATCTCTTAGATGCTTTTGTTGTTAAAGTCATCACAAGCTTTTCTTCTTAGACACGTCATTTGAATTTCAATATCAGGATTGAAATTATTCTAAACCCCTTTATTCAACTGGGATTGTATTAACCGCCTACAATAATTTTGACTTACCGATAAGAGACACACTACCTTTGGGTTGATCTAGGAATGACTTGACATTAACTTGGGCCAGGTCTACAACTTGATCAAATTCCACCTCTGACCTAGCTCCCTTTTTCTCTTTTGTATAAGTTCCTTGCAATTGCCATCTGACATCAGCTGTGAAGTGCCTCTTCCTTGTGGTCATGGGTTTGAGAAATTGCCTCCCCTGCAAATCTGCAATGGCTTCGTTGTCACTCAGATCATCACGAGGTCCTATTCGATCACAGAAATAGTGTGTCCTGCTGTGGGGCCTTTCTCCCTTTCTTGGCACCGAAGTTGCCACCACTGGATCCTCTTCTTGGATGGCATAACTGCCATATGGAACTTTGTCCATATCGTCGATAACTTCATTCCGGTACTAGTGAGCTTGATGCAAACTCACATAGTTTTCGTTGTATCTGTGCTATCTTACTTGTAGGTTCTATTAGATACCAACTTGAAAAGATTGTATAACAGAGAAAGATTTCTATGAATTTGCTGGAGTGAAAATACACTCAACATGCTGCAAGGCACAAGCTTGGATGCTAGTGTCTTACAAGGTGGGGTGATACAGATGGGGATGTTTTACAGGTTTATGTCAGTACACAGCCCCTTAAGCTCTAAAGCTCAAATGAATGCAAGAGCTTTGAAATGTGGGTGATGCTCTGCTGAGTAGGATGGGTCTTGGAACCCTATCCCAAAGTATATCTAGGGGCAAACAGTGACCTTTACCAATGTGAGGATTTTGCTTCCACGAAACTTGCCAAAGAACAGCAAAAGTCATACATTTGCACAAAATTCTTCAATTTTTTCTTTGAAACCATTTTAAATGAAACCAGAAAACTGGCTCCAAAGTGAAGAGGGGCAAAGTTAAGATTCATCTAGCATTCCAACCTTCGTATTGCAAACAAAAGTTTCCGTCCAAATATGTAGGAATAAATGGGCCATTGTTTCCAAAGCAAACTCAAGCTGCATAGATTTCTTTTAAATGTAGATTCCCTACAATCATATGGCCATGTCTTAAAACTCAGCTTTCTTGAAATTTTGATATATTTTATGACTATGTACTCAATGAATGACAACTACATGATATTGAAAATCATTACAAACATTTATCGAATACTTATTTTGGTATTCCTTACATATTTTTTAAAGGTACAAAGAGAATACTGTAGCACGCAGTTTGACTCTTCAAAAGCAGCTAAGTCGTTATGCTCCTATTTCCCTTAATGCTGAGGTTGTTGTAATATTTGTTTTAGATTGTTTTTGGTTATTATATAATATTGATTTCTATCCATCAGCCGTTGAGCTTTTAATTTTTTTTTTTCTCCCCTTCCCTTTGCCAATTTGGACTGCCTTCAGTTAAACTAGGCATTTCTGTCATTTCACAACTCTCTTTGAATGCATCTAATTTTATGTGTAAACTGAATTGCTTTTGTTTCACTTAAACACTGTCTTTGGAATATTATTGAAAAAGTAGTAGCTGTAATGTTTTTATATGAATGGTATTTGAGTGTGTTGGCATGTCTGTGTGTATCTGATGGGATCCAACCAATACCAGAACAGATTAAAGGCCAGAAAATAGGAATAGATCTTTCCAAATCTTCTCTAACACAATTCAATTATCCATGTCAGCATGATGGGGAAACCAATACACTATGCCCCTTCCTAGGATAAACTTTTAACGGTTTATTCCCAATCAGTATCACAAAAATAATTTTGTTAAAGGGAAAAACTCGATGAAAAATGCTCCTAGACTTTCTGAGTGTAGATTGTACGCAGCTTTATCCTTATATTTTTACAAAGAGGTTGTTTCTTAGACTCGAATGCATGAGTTTTTGGTCACAAGGAAGCAACTTTACCGTTGTTTCAAAGCTCACCTTCATCACAAAGTAATCTTGGTGACCAGTGTTTATCTGTCGTTTCTGATTTTTCTCCATGGAATTCAATCCTGTCAGTAAAAGTAAGTATATATTGAATTTGATCTCACCAAGAAGAAGGTTGAAATCTTAGAATTAACCTAATGGATAATCAAATCGAACCTGGTACTTAATATTTGAGCTGAATAAATTTATAATGTCACTATATTGAAATTATTTGGTATATGTAGTTAGGTTTGGATTGTATACATATATTGTTGGGCATTGCACCATTCCATTGTTTCTCTAACTTTTTTTCTTACGATCGGGAAATAGCTTATTTGCAAATATATAAGGGTAAGACTGCGTATATGGATTGCTTTCACTTGTACCCTTGCTATTTGGGGTTTAATGGGGAGTGGTTTTTTGGTATAGAGAAGAGTGCAACTGTTTGAGACTTTATCTTTCTTAAACTATCAACAAAACATATAATTTGGGTGGATTCTCTATTTCCATGGCATCATGATCTTGATCCTGAACGACAAAGAGAATTCTGCATTATGTCTTCCACTGAAAACCCCATATCAAAGCATTAATGGGCAATGTGTATGGTATAAATATGTTACTGATTTATGGGCAAAAGGAATAATAGAATGTGTTAATGTTACACTTGAATGCAGGAGATGTGTTATAATAGCAATTAATTCTATGGATATAAGCTACATCAGTGTGATTAACTACAAAGATTTTGGATGAATTTTTGTTGGTCATAAATTAATTAAAAATACAACACAAGTTTCTTTAATGAATTTTGATGGTTATGATATTATTATTTGTCTCGAGTGAAGTAATCGTTGGTTTATTAATATCATATTTATCCTAAAATTTGTGGTCTCCCAATGTTTCATTTTGGCAGTTGACAGGGCTTACGGACTCAGACAAAGAGGCGCTTGTTTTCGTTGTCAAGGCTGCAAAAGTTATGGATGAAATTTTTTATCTGCAGGTTGTGTTTACAATACATTTATAGCAGTGTTTGCTTGATTTTTTTTTATATGTTTAACCTGCATCTTCATATTAAGTATATAAAATTTATTGGTAACTTTTACTTCTAAACTTTTTTCAATGCAACCAATTTCTCATATGCATGTATTGATGTGCCATGTGGCATATTTATTTCTTGATCCAAAAAATCATTCTAAATTTTTAACTGTGATTAGTAGAATATACCCAGGAAGAAGGATCTGTTCAAATGATAATGTGCACTACTAAAGTTTGTTTGTTTATTTCCCTATCAGTCATGGTACAGTAATCCAGCTCTTAGAGATTGGTTGAAGGAGCATGCTGATGCATCAGAGTTAAATAAGTTGAAATGGTTGTATTATCTGATTAACAAGAGCCCATGGTAAGTCCTTGACAGCTTACTCTACCATCTGAATGGTATATATTTATACACTCAAAGATAGATAGATGAATTTGGTGATTTTGTATGCCAGAAAATTATGCTATACTTAAGATCAAACCCCAGGGTTGTGCTGCCTGTGCTTGAGCACTCATTTGAGAGAGAATCCCAAACACCCTAGAATTTGATTCATATGCTGCTTTTGAATTAAGATTCCATCCAGAATCTTTTCACCTTAAACCAAGGGACCTTTTCACAATCCAATATCTGTATCGTGGTTCTGTGATTGCCAACAAGACAGTTTCAAAAGTGCATCACTTGGCTCATTCTGTTTAGCACTTCCTTTCTCATAACCTGATAGATGTATAAACCTGGGCTTGAACCCAAGCTGCACCTCGAGTGCCCAACAAGATAAGATTCAGAACTTAAAAGGATACTACCAACATCAAATAGGTTAATATGTTGTGGTAGCATTGTCATCTATATGCTCAACATGACCTCTGCCCAGTAAAGACCGCACAGTATAGATGTTCCACTGAACCAATGATGATCCTAGCATCATCAAGACACTAGCTGCTTCTTTTGTTCACGTGGCCCATGAATAGTAGCTTACGTGATCAAGTATTACTAGAGTTGGGGATTGGTGGAAAACACCTTGAAGTCCGGCTTCTTTCTAAAGATCTTGACACTATTCAGTTGTTAGGATGAAACACTATTTTAGCCCAGTTAAATTAACTGTCAAGACTCTCTGTTTTTGGACATGATCCCTGTTGGATCTCTCTCACACACACTTCAAGTATGTACCTTTTATGACTATCAACATCAATATTAAAATGTTCAGATTATATTTTGGTTGGGGACCTTGGGGTTGGTAAAAGGAAAAGGTAATTGGGAAAGAGTCAGAGATGATCTGAACTAAAATGGCTATTGACTTTTGAAATTGCCAAAACCAAATGGAACAAAAATATAAACATCCTTCTTCCTTGATTACTGCATATTCTTTGTTTTAATAATATACAGGGTATAACCTATTTTTTTAAAAATATCTCTTTTATGTCCGTATATGTTGTATAATTAGAATCTATTCACTGTTGGCAGGTCTTGCCTTGACGAAGATGAGGCATTTTTGACAACTGCAGATTCAGCAATAAGGTTGCTTTCCAAAGCAACTAGGACATTTAAAGAATGGAAGGGTCTAGAATACAGAGCAGCATTTCCCAAACTGAAACCTGCTGGTGCTAATTTCTACCCCCCAGACATGGACAAAATGGTACCATTAAACTAAGCGTATGCTGTCAAAAACATTTGCTTTGCAAATATAAAAACAATAAAGCTTCTGTCTTGCAGGAGTTTGAAATATGGAAGGAAAGTTTAGAAAAGGATCAACAGAATGAGGCAACAGGCTTTTTCAATGTTATTAAAAGGCACAGCGAATTTATTTTAGATTCTGATCTGTCCGATAACAAAGTAGGTTCTGCACATGATCTATATATAGTTCCTTACTCTCAAGAGTATAAATCTATTCTTGCAAAAGCTGCTGATTTATTGCATAAAGCTGGGGACATTAGCAACACACCAAGGTATATTGTTCTTCATTCATATTATTATTTTTAAGTAGTAATTGGTCAGCTTCATGCTAAATATTACTTACAAATGTTGGTCAACTAATTTTTTCCATGTCTAGTTTGAAGAGGTTGCTACATAGCAAGGCTGAGGCTTTCCTTTCAAATGATTATTATGACTCAGATATAGCTTGGATGGAATTGGTTAGTCATATTCTTTAGTCTGCATTTGCGCTACAATCATTACAAAATAGTTGGCAAGTGATGGAACCAGAAAAATAACACTGAAATTTATATAAAGAAGAATCCAGATACAGATTAGCAGACAATCACAGTAGAAAGAACAAGAGGAAAAACTCCACTCCAAAGCAACAATCTAGCCTTGAGAGCTTCCTTATTTCCTCTCCTAATTCCCCATCCCAATTCCCAAATTACAAATAACACTCAACATAAAGAAACCCCACCCTAAACATCTATATATAACTAATTCCTACTAATGGGCTTGGATACTTTATTAAAGGCCCATCAATACTCCCACTCCAAAATTCACCTTGTCCTCTAGGTGAAGAGAAAGTATAGATAACATGAAAGAACTTCCACCCGGGTCCCATTGTTTGAAACATACAGAACAAGTAATGCTTGAAGTCAGAAAATTGCAACTGTTTGATCCCATTTCCCATTGCTTTCATATTGCACTTGCGCCTAGTTCCTATAACCTCTCTGACCAAGTAACAAGGGGTATCTCCACTCCCTGTAAGCTCAGTTTTCTGCCCTTTTTGTGGGCCTCCTACAAAAAAAAGTTTTTGGGTCACTAGCATTTCTTTTGGAGACCAAAGATGTCTGGTCCAATAGCCCTATGGTTAGACCCATTGGGCTTAACCGTCTCTTCCCAGAATCAGCACATGCCCAGGAAAAAAAAAGTCACACTTGAAATATAGGTTTCTTCTCCTCTTATTATCGAGTTCTTCTTGCGGAAGTTCGATTGAGCAATTGGAAATATGACCAACCATGCTTGCAAACCAAGTTTAAAGGACTTCTCTTCAGCCGCCGTACCACCATTCTTCAAAGCGACTACGTCCTCTGCCATTTCCTTTGGAGAAAGTCGCCGGATCTGTGAGCTCTCGTTGCCGCCGCTTGTTCTACTGGTGCTCCTTCCATTCGCGTGCATCTCCATTTCGTCTTCGTCAATCTTGCCTTTACTTCCAACAACTAGTAACTTCTTGTGGAGTGTGGGTTGCCATACACATGATCCGCTGAAAACGGAGCACCACATCGAAAATAGAGATGGCGTCGCCGGCGATCAACCATTTCTTCCGCAGTTAATCGCCGGTACCTCGCGCCGCGTCTGTCCCTATTGCCATTGTTGGTCATCGAAATTCCTTGTGTGGATGTTGAACCTTGCCCTTCTTCGTTTTCGATGATGGTATGCCGTAGATCAGAATTAGAATTATTAGACTCTATTTGAAACCACTTGAGATTGAATAATAGAATAATGGTATATTGAATAATTGTATGTTACAATGTACAAGAGCTCTTTATTTAAAGAGACTCAAAGACCTAATGGGCTAAGCCCACAAGATGTGAGACTATTCTATTATATACACTGAACTATTCTAATAACTACTCTAACACTTCCCCTCAAATGTATGCTACCCGAGGACCTCTAAGAGCTTTAGTGAAGACATCCACGAGTTGATCATTGGAGTTGACAAATACCGTTTTGATTTCTCCTGACTGAATCTTTTCTCGAATAAAATGACAATCGATTTTTATATGTTTGGTTCTCTCATGAAATATAGGATTAGATGATACATGTAACGCAACTTGATTATCACAAATGAGTGTCATTGGTTGTTTCTGTTCACAAAGATGGAGCTCTTGAGTCAACTGCTTTAACCAGACTAGCTCGCAGGTAGCAACTCCCATTGCACGATACTCGGCCTCTGCACTAGAGCGGACAACAACAGTTTGTTTCTTACTTTTCCCAGAAATCAGGTTTCCTCCAAAGAAGACACAATAGCCTGAAGTAGAGCGCCTATCCGAGGGTGATCCTGCCCAATCGGCATCTAAATAACCACAAATTTATGTATTTCCCTGATTTGAATATAATAAGCTTTTTCCTGGTGCTCCTTTGATGTACTGGAGGATCCTCACAGCAACATCTCAATGAGAATCACAAGGAGAGTCAAGGAACTGACTAGCCACACTAACAACAAAAGAAATGTCCGACATAGTCATAGTGAGATAATTAAGCTTCCCAATCAACTTCTGATAACGTCCAGGATCAGATAATGGCTCTCCTTGTCCAGGTAGTAATTTGATAGTAGGATCTATGGGTGTATCTACCGGCTTATACCCCAACATATCAGTCTTCTCTAGGATATCCAAGGCATATTTCCTTTGACTGATAGAAATTTCCTATTTAGACTGTGCCACTTCAATCCCTAAGAAGTAACGAAGCTTACCAAGATTCTCCGTTTGAAATTGACTGAACAAATATTGTTTTAACTGGTGAATCCCAGCTTGATCACTTTCAGTGAGAATAATGTCATCAACGTAGACTAACAAATATATGCACTTGTCAGGAGATGTAAACCTATAAAACACAGAATCATCAACCTTACTGCGGATTAAGCCAAAAGCTTGAACGGCAGAACTGAAACGGCTGAACCATGCCCGAGGAGACTGCTTGAGGCCATATAAGGACTTACGAAGTCTGCATACCTTCCCAGACTCCCCCTGAGCAACAAACCCATGTGGTTATTCCATGTAAACCTCTTGTAAATCTCCATGAAGAAAAGCATTTTTAATGTCTAGTTGAAAGAGTGGCCAGTGACGAACAGCAGCGAGGGCAGGAAACATGCAGACAGACGCTATCTTAGCAACAGAGGAGAACGTGTCACTATAGTCAAGATCAAAAATCTGAGTAAAACCCTTGGCAACTAAGCGCGCATTGAGATGATCAACATGGTTATCAGGCCCAACCTTGACATTAAAGACCCACCGACAACCAACAATAGAATTCCCTAGAGGAGCAGGAACAAGATTCCAAGTGCCATTGGAATGAAGAGCAATCATCTCATCAAGCATCGCTTGGCGCCACCCTGGATGGAAAAGTGCTTCACCTGTGGTCTTAGGAATAGAAACAGAAGAAAGACTAGAAAAAAAAGTGAAATGAGGAATAGCAAGACGGCCATAGCTTACAAAGGTATAAAGAGGATAAGGGTTACGAGTAGTATGTTTACCTTTTCTTTGGGCAATGGGAAGAGCCTCTGATGCAGGAGCCGGAGGGGAAGAGGTGGCAGGAGAAGGCGATGAGTCATCCAGGGTCAAGTTCACAGGAGGCACTTTCTAACGACGCTGGTAGGTGAGAAAAGGACGATCCTCAGGGATGGAGGCACCTTTCTCTAGAAGAGAGTCACCTGTAGCTGGTAAAGACAAGTTAAAAAAGGGAACATGAAGAACCTGATCAACCTGTGACAACTGAGATGGGTTAGAATGAAAGGGTTGTTGACAAAGAAAATTGATATCAGCGGAAACAATATAACGCTTAAGATCAGGAGAATAACAACGATAACCTTTTTGAAGACGAGCATAACCAAGAAAAATACACTTAAAGGCTTTAGATATTAATTTGTCCTTATCAGGAGTGAGATCATGAACAAAACAGATTAAACCAAAGACATGTGTAGATAGAGGATAAAGAGGAGTATTTGGAAACAATAGGTTATAGGGAATGCCATTGTTAAGCACAAAAAAATTCTAAGAGAACATAGGGATTAAGATTCCCTGGTCTCCGTTTTCGCTAACCTCTAGAAGAAAAAAATAATTTGGGGCAGAGAACCGGTCGGTAACCAGAAAAATATAAAAATAAAATAAAATAAGATTTTTTTTGAAGTAAGAAGAGATAGAGTAGCACCACTAGGGTTAGCCTAGTGGTGTGGGGTGTGTGTGTTAGGAGTGTGTGTAGTGTAGGGTATTGTGTTCAATTCCTTGTAACCTCCAAAAAAAAAAAAAAAGAAGAGATAGAGTAGTAGAGGAGAAGAAGAGTAGGGGAGAAATGTTGAAAAGTGAATTGGTTTGGTTAGGCTAGGCCTCTATTAATAGTTGAAGTTTCAGACTCGTATATGAGTTTCGTGCAATTATTTCCTTATTCTTCATTGATGTATCTGGCTCAGATATTGGCTTCATACACTATTTTTTTTTATTCTAAATTTCTTATGGCTCAGAATATCGCTAACTCATTATTGACTCATTATATCTAATCAAATAAAGTTTGCTGACTCATCCTAATCCAATCAAACATTACCAATTAATGCATAAATGAACAATCAATTAACAATTACAATATATATATATATATATATATATATATATATATATATATATATATATATATATATATTATTTTATTATTAATAATCTGGAGTATTACAAAGTATCAAAATCAATTTCCAATAGCACTCGTATCGGACATATATCGCACAAAATCATTTTATCAAAGGTAAAATTTATATTATAATTTGTTATCTATCACCATCAAATATATATATATATATATATATATATATATATATATATATATATACTACTAATTTATAATTTATTATTATTGTAAGTTACTATTATTTTTCTGAGATGTTACAAATGACTTAGCAATGAGTCATCAGCCTTATCCTATAAAAGCAAATTCAAAATTCAAATTCCTATTAGAGGAAAAAATCAATCACTTATAAAAGTGGAAAGATCCCAATCCTGATTTTCTACAGTAAATAACTATACAAGAGCTCTCTATTTAAAGATACTAAGGGAGGTGTATTGGATTGGGATTTCAAAGGATTTTAATGGTTTGTTTTCGGACAAAAAAATCCGTTGGTATTCGATTAGGATTTTAATGGATTATTTTAAAGGATTATTTTAAAATCCGTCCAAATCCGTTGGTATTCAATCAGGATTTTAAACAATGGAATCACAATCTCGTGGTATTCAAAAATCCGACGATTTTAATGGATTTTCTATTGGTGTGGATTTCGTGAGACTTTTTAGAGAAAAATATAAATAGGATGTCTCTCTCACAATCTCACCCTAACACCCCTAGGATTTCTTGAGATTCTTCTATTGCAGTGTTTTCTTCTTCCTTTGACAGGTTGACTGCTCGAAATTGGGTTCTGCCATGAGAGCTTCTTCAAAACTAAAAAAAAAGCATATTTTTGAGCGATTTTCATCACAAAACAGCAAAGAAACAACAAACCAACGAGATTTTAATATAATCTATCTCAAAAATAACATATTTTTGAGCCATTTTTGAGAAATTTTGGAAGTTTAAAAAGTTATTTTTCAAGCTACGGGTCGCGGTTTTTCTTGGAACAAAAACGTTTGATTTTTGTATTAAAAACAACATAAACCATGAAAAAATAACAGGAGAACTAAAACCCTCAAACCAATTTTTCGTCAATGAAACAATATCAATTTAAAGAAAGATTGAAACTTTCATAATATGAAGAACCCTATATTTCGTAACAATACATTCAAGAACGAAATTCCTTCACTATAGGAAATATTTTCAAACAATTTTTGTGTTAATACATAACTAAAAACTTGTTTCTTATCGATTGAAAAAAATTTGAGAAATTTTCTAAACTTTCATGTAATTAAACCTAAAATTTCAGTTTCAGAATTTTCTTAGAATATTCAATGAAATTATGCATATGTTATATGGTTAGAAAACTCTCATCACGTAAAACCAAAACCCCAAGGTTTTCAAGATTAATTGCAAAAAATTTCAAATGAAATTTTATCATGAACTTTAGGTTCTATATGCAAATTTAGAATTATTTTTATAATTAATAAAAAATTGGGTCTTATAATCATATATGCATAACTTTGATAACAAATGAAGAAGATAATTTTCAACCCATTAGATATGTGAAAAGCTGTTGTTTAGTAATTTTGAATATTTGTTAAAGATTATATTATGTTTTACTGATTGAGAAAATTATATTAGGTTTTACTTTTTTTTATTAATTTCATTGCATTTTTTTGTTAATTTTTTATGGGGATTATACTTACAATCTATTTTTGTTTACAACCTTTTACAACCATATCTTAACCGTTGATTTCCGTCAATCAATGGTTATTATTTTCACTAATCAAACTCATTAATTAATATTTAATTTGGAAGTTAACCGTTGATATATGGTTATTATTTTCGCAAATTAAACTCAAACTCATTGAGTTAATTATATTAGATTTTATTGATATGTGGAGAGTTGTTGCTTAGTAATTTTTGAGATAATTTTCAACCCGTTGTTAAGTTTACTTTTTTTATTATTAATATCATTGCATTTCTTTGTTATTTGTTTTTATTGACTCTTGTAATTTTGAATATTCGTTAAAAATTCATATAGTTTTTTAAAATCTTATAAAATCCATACACTCTTTTCAAATCTTATGAATCTATTAAAATCCAATCCTATGAAATCTTGATTGTAAAAAAAGTCTTTTAAAAAAGTCTATAAAGTCTCTCAAATTCTAAAATGTCTTTTAAAATCTGTAGGATTTTTTATCTCAAAAAAGTCTTTTAAAATCCTAATCCAATACACCCCCCTAAATGACCTGATTGGCTAAGCCCAAAGAAGCTTCCAGAGTAATCTAAATAATAAAATACTAATCTAAATAATAATACAATATTATTTACAACACTTCCCCTACAAAATTCACCTTGTCCTCAAGGTGAAAAAAGAGGACGGGTAATGATAGAGATATTCCAGTTAGGTCCCATTCCTTGAAGCAAACTCCACCTTGTTATATTGTCGTTATGCTCTGATACCAAATTGATGGAACTAGAAAAATAACACTGAAATTGATATAAAGAAGAAACCAGATACAGATTAACAGACAATTACAGTAGAAAGAACATGAGGAAAAACTCCACACCAAGACAACAACCTAGCCTTGAGAGCTTCCCTATTTCCTCTCCTAATTCCCCAAATTACAAATAACAATCAACATAAAGAAACCCCACCCTAAACATCTATTATATATAACTAATTCCTACTAGTGGGCTTTGATAGTTTATTAAAGGCCCATCAGCAAGCTAGTAAGATGTATTGTGAATAGTGTGTAAGTACTCTATTGTATTAAAAGACCTTTATTATGTAAATATTATATATCAAAATGTTGATGTAATTGTATTGTTACTTTCTTTAATGTAAATGAGAAAGTTTGTTCAAAGAATGCTAGTTTTTAAATGTTCCAGTTCATGTGTCCCTATTCTCCGAGTCATACAGATGGACACATTGCACTATTTACATTTTCTTACATATTTGGTTCCTTCATCTCCTTTATGAAGATTAGTTTATATCTGTTTCTTAGTAAAATAAAATAGAACAAATCATGATTGTTGCTCTTGCTCCTAACTGCTGCTAACTCACAATGCAAAGATTTATACAAGGTCGAGGTTATAATTTTCATTTTTAATGTGATCGAGTATTACCATTGTTATATTTTGTAATTTATTGCCGAATTATTTTTGTCTTGAATCAACTATCCTAAAAGCTTAAATTGTCATGAGAAGACACATGAATGATTTTATGTTATATCTCTTAACAATTTTCAATAAATGTAAGGACATGGTTCTTTATATTCTTTTTCTTTTTTCTCTTACAAATCAGCAAGTAATAGAAATTAAATCCTTGTGAATTTTCTGCGCAGAGAGAAAATGTGACTTTTGGGATCATTTTGAATGTAATTATGATGAACAAATGAAGTAATCTTGTTTAATCGGGTAAAAATGCATGAATAAAACTGTGTATAAGGATTTCCTCATCCCAACTCTCTCAAGTCAGGGTTTCATGTGGATTTTTTTATTTTATTTTATTTTGTTTTATTTATTTATTTATTTATTTATTTTGAGAAGAAAGAGCAGTAGTGAGAATGATCTAGGAACGTAGGCATGTACTTATTAAATGTTATTTGCCCAGACTCAGGATGAATTCCTTGCTTTATAGATATGTTTGCATTTTCACCCATCCACCCTCACACCAAAATAAGTGCTTTTATACAATCTTCTTGCTTGCCATCGGTGCTTGATGGAACTAAGAATCTGGTCATACAAAGCAAAATATGCAATTCCTGCAAAATAGACTTTCTCCAAATTTTGTACATTAGTATCCATACCGTAATACAGATACTTTTAATGGCTAATTGCCGATCATATAATTATTTTTACGTTAATATTTTCTATGCAGGACTCTAAGTTGGATGTCACAATTGGGCCATATGAAACTTATGAGGATAAATTTTTTGGATATAAGGTAATTTTCTCAACGATGAGGCTTTGTGCAGCATAAACAATGAAAGTCCCCAAAGCATGATTATATTTAACTTAAATGATATTTTCATTTGGAGAATATGCTTCACAAAGTTATGGGATATTGCTATTGAATGAAGCTTTGTGTCATTACTAGCCGACTGCCAGCTAATATTTTAAAATTTTGGCAATGGACATTAAAAATACAAGTTTCATTTATTCATTTATGTAATGTCAAATATAGATCTGGAGATCAATGTCATGGCATGGTTTGTTGTAGGAAAAAATTAATGCATTGCCAAGAATGTAAGTATTTACAGTCAGATTTTATCTGTATACACTTTGATAATTCTTATGGCTTTCTCCCCTGTATTCTCAGAGGTTCTTGATATTTCAAAGTATCCTAAACATAATTTGGGATTGACTGGATGTACAAAATCAGGATTAGAATCTTTCAAAGTATCCTAAACATAATTTCGGATTGCCAGATAATGGAGATCCTCCTTGTAAATGGGAAAAGTTTTATAGCGGCGAGAATCATCTTAGGGAGATGGAATTTGGCGCTCCCGGCACACAAGATATTGGGTGGGGCGGAGGACAGAGAATGAAAAAGAGATTGAGGAGAGAGGGGAGAGGAGAGAGGAGAGAGAAGGGAGAAAAAAAAATTCATGTGTCACTCCCTTAATGGGAGGACCACCATGGCCCAGGAGCATGTTAAAAATTTCCCACCTCAGGAGCCTCTAGACTGCCAGGATTCTGACTCGAGCCTTAGTTCCAACAACACTAATACAACTGACCTAGATGTGCCTATTGCTCTCCGAAAAGGTACTAGATCTTGTACTGCTCATCCTATTTCTCATCATATCACGTATAAAAAGTCGTCACCAGGTTTTCGTGCTTTCAACATTATGTTAAACAGTACAAAAATGCCAAAAGTCATCCAAGAAGCACTTGATGATCCAAAACGGAGGAATGCAATCTTTGAAGAAATTGTTGCACTCAACAAAAATAGAACTTGGGAGTCCGTAGCATTACCCAAAGGAAAGAAAACAGTAGGTTGCAAGTGAGTGTTCACAATAAAGTTAAATGCAGATAACAACTTCAACAAGTATAAGGCCAGATTGGTTGCTAAGGGATTCACTCAGACTCATGGGATAGACTATCAGGAGACATTTTTCCCTGATGCCAAGCTTAACACTATCCGAGTTCTTCTATCATTTACTGCCAATCTTGATTGGCCCTTGCAAAAATGTAAAAAATGCTTTCTTGAACGGTGATCTACATGAAGAAGTTTATATGAATCCCCCACCTAATTTTGAAAAGGGAGACGGTTAAGTATGCAAGTTGAAGAAGTCTCTCTATGGTCTTAAACAATCCTCTAGTGAGTGGTTTGAGAAGTTTACTCAAGCTGTTAAGGGAAGAGGATTCCTCCAAGCTCAGACTGATCACTTTATTTTTAAAACACTCTAATGGTGGAAAAAATTGCTATTCTCATTGTTTATGCTGATGACATAATTGTCATAGATAATGATTTTGAGGAGATAAGCTCTTTGAAGAAGTGTTTAGCTGATCAGTTTGAACTGAAGGATCTTAGATCTCTCAAATATTTTCTGGGCATAGAGGTTGCTTGAAGTAAGGCAGGGATTTCTTTAAGTCAGAAGAAATATATTTTAGACCTATTACAAGAAACAAGAATGCATGGGTGCAGGCCAACAGAGACTCCAGTTGAACCCAATATTAATTTGGGAATTGAAGATGGGAAAGAAGTTGGCAAAGAGAAGTACCTCACATAAGAGAGCCCATTGGACTTGGAAGGTGTATGATGCATCAGGCCCAACCTACTTGTGCTAAGAAATTCCACAAAGAAAACGGGAGGCGGCGAGGATCGAATCCGGGACACCGAGGCTCTGATACCATGTAAAGAACCATTTCAATCCAAAAGCTTAAGCTATTAGGTGTGAGCCTTTTCAATGGTTTATATTATACTCTAATACGCCCTCTCATAAGAGAGCCCATGGGCTTGAAAGGATGATGCATCAAGCCTAGCTTACATGTGCTAAGAAGCTCTACAAAAAAAAGGGGACAGTGAGGATCGAACCCAGGACACCGAGGCCCTATGTTGTAAATAATTGTATTTGTTTCTTTCTTTATTTATTTATTTTTCCATTCTAGAATCTTCTTTGGGCTTAACCCATTAGGTTATTTAGTCTCGATCCTGAGCGCTCTGCTTCTGCAACTGCCGCCTTTAGAGCAGAATCCTATTTGTTTGCCTCTCGCAACCACTAGCCACTACTGAAATTTTTTCCGGGACCTTTTGGACCAAGAGGATTACTGTTTGAGTCTGTTTTTCCAGATCTATCAATTCACAGGAAATTTCAAAAAAAAAAAAAAGTACTGTGCACGCGTACTGTTCATCGGCACTGTTCACCGGGTACTATTTACGGGCACTGTTCACGAGGTATTGTTCACGCCAAAAAAAAAAGTTCCAGGTCACTGTCTCCTCTGTCTAGGTCTGTGTTTTTTTTTTCTTCAGTCAGACATCATTTGGATTTGCGTTTATGTGATTTTCACCTCAATATTATGGTGGGTTCAAGTGGTACATCTTCGGAATTTATTTCTATTCGCAGAGATGAGTTGGAGCGGATTCGGACTATGCTTGATTCTCTGAGTAAGCCATATAGTATTAGTACTTTGGCTATGACTGGTATGAGCTCCACTACTCATTCTTTTCTTACTTCTTGTACTGATATTAAACATTCTTGGATTATTGATTCTGGTGTTACTGATCATATGGCTTGTTGTGCTGACTCCTTTCTTTCTTATAACCCTACTATTGGCACCCATACAATAGCCGTAGCTGATGGCTCACATACATCAGTTGTGGTTTCTGGCAACATATATTTACAGCCTTCCTTACATTTCCAAAATGTTCTTTATGTTCCCAAACTCTCCACTAATCTTCTTTCTATCCATAAAATTACCAAAGATTCGAATTGCATTGTAACTTTCTTCTCTACTTACTGTGTTTTTTCAGGATTTCGCCACGGGGAAGACAATTGGGGGTGCTAAGGAGCAAGGTGGGCTGTACTATCTGTTGCTAGAATCTTCTGCAAAGTATGCTAAGGATCACACCTTATTGACTCAGTCTCAATCTACTACCGACTCTTTGATTTGGCTCCATCATAAACGCTTGGGGCATCCTCCATTTCGTTTGTTTAAGTCTTTATTTCAATCACTATTTTTGTCTAAGTTTGTTGAGTGTTTTCATTGTGATGTTTGTGAGTTTGCTAAACACCATCATGTCTTTTTTTCTTCTAGTACCATTAAATGTGTTGAGCCTTTTGATCTTATTCATTCTAATGTTTGGGGTCCTTCTAAAGTTCCTCATGCTTCTGGTAATAAATGGTTTGTTTCTTTCATTGATGATTGCACTCGTGTAACCTGAGCTTATTTAATGCATGAAAAATCTTAGGTACCACAGTTATTCTTTCGATTTTATAAAATGATTCAGACCCAATTTGATAAAAGAATTAAAAGATTAAGGTCCGACAATGGTACCGAATATGTCAATCAGCGTCTTTCCAAATTCATCCAAGATCAGGGCATGATTCATGAACTTACTTGTGTGAACACCCCTCAACAAAATGGAGTTGCTGAGAGGAAGGATCGTCATGTGCTTGAAGTTGCTCGTGCATTACTTTTTCAGAATCATGTACCCAAGTGCTATTGGGGAGATGCCATTCTTACTACAGCTTTCTTAATCAACCACTTGCCTTATCGGGTCCTTGACAATGTAAGTCCTATTCACTCAATGACTTCATTCTTTCCCTCTGTTCCCTCTATGCACAGTCTTCAGCCACGAGTTTTTGGGTGTGTTGTCTTTGTTCATGTTCATAAACATCTTCGCAGTAAGTTGGATCCTAGGGCTCTCAAATGTATCTTCCTTGGTTATGCCCCTAATGAAAAAGGCTACAAGTGTTATCATCCTGCTAGTCGGAAATTCTGTCTCAATGGATGTCACATTTCATGAATCTGAGTCTTTTTTCCTAAGTTCTCATTTTCAGGGGGAGAGCAGTTCTTCAGTAGATTCATCACCTTCTATCTTTGAGTCTGAACTTTCCATGTCTTCTCCTACACCTCTTCCTCTTGTTTCTGATTCTTCTGTGTCTGACCCATCTGATACTCCGGAAATACAGAGGATTGTGACACCTGAGTTGGTATATCACAGGAGAAAGCAGCCCACACTTCTTCACCAGCAACCTCAATCGTCTGAACCACTGGTAAGTCCTGAATCTCTTGTTTCTGATCCTAATATTATTACTTCTTCTGTTTCTGAACCTAATATTGTTGCCTTTAATGATTTTCCTGTTGCTTCTGATAGCTTACCCAGTACCTCTGATGACTTACCTATTCCCTTAAGAAAAGGAAAAAGATCTTGTACCCAACATCCTATCTCTCATTTTGTCTCTTCTACTATCCTTTCTGTGCAGCGAAAAAGATTTATTTCAGCATTAGATTCTATCTTAATCCCAAAATCAATACATGAAGCATTAAAAGATGAGAATTGGGCTCGAGCCATGCAAGATGAGATAAATGCCTTGGAGAAAAATAAAAAATGGGATGTTGTTGATAGACCTGATGGAAAGAAAGCAGTAGGGTGCAGATGAGTTTATGCCTTGAAATATAATTCTGATGGTACTCTTGAAAGATATAAGGCTCGGTTAGTTGCCAAGGGTTACACTCAGACCTATGGCATTGAGTATGAAGAAACTTTTGCCCCAGTTGCAAAGATGAATAATGTGAGAGCTTTATTGTCCCTTTCTGCCCATTACAACTGGGATATGAATCAATTTGATATGAATAATGCTTTCCTTAATGGTGAGTTAGAAGAAGTCTATATGGAAATCCCACCTGGCTTTAGCTCTATGGGTTGAGGAAATAAAGTTTGCAGGTTAAAAAAAGCTTTATATGGATTGAAACAATCTCCTCGTGCCTGGTTTGAGAGATTTACTAAGGTTATGCTGGCCTTAAGATATAAACAGAGTCAAGGAGATCACACACTATTCTTCAAGCACTCCCAATTGGGAAGCTAATTGTGCTCCTTGTATATGTTGATGATATTATTATAACAGGTGATGATATTACGGAGAAACATTTTCTACAAGCACGACTAGCCTCTGAGTTTGAAATTAAAGATCTTGGGAGATTGAAATATTTCCTAGGGATAGAGGTAGCTCATTCAAAGGAAGGAATTTTTATCAGCTAGAGAAAATATGTCCTTGATCTTCTTAAAGAAGCGGAAAAACTTGGGTGTAAACTCTCTAGTACTCCTATTGAGCAGAATCACAAGATGGGTTATGAAGAGGAGAGTCCTCCAGTTGATAAAGGACAATATCAACGGTTAGTTGGGATATTGATATATTTGGTTCATACTAGACCAAATCTTGCTTATGTTGTCAGTATTGTAAGTCAGTTCATGCATAATCCAAAAGAAAAACACATGCAGGCAGTGGAGAGAATTCTTCAGTATCTTAAAGCCACTCCTGGTAAAAGATTGTTGTTCCAGCATAATGGCAATCTCTCTTTAGAAGTTTATACCGATGCTGATTATGCTGGATCCGTAACTGATCGTCGATCTACCACTGGTTATTGTATGTTTCTTTGTGGTAACCTAGTGACATGGAGGAGTAAGAAGCAGGACCTGGTTGCCAGATTGAGTGCTGAGGCTGAATTTCGAGCTATGACTCAAGGCATTTGTGAATTATTGTGGTTGAGAATATACTTGGGGATCTTAAAATAAGATGTGAAGGACCTACGAAGTTGTTTTGTGATAATAAGTCCGCCATTTGTATAGCTCATAATCCAGTTCAACATGATCGGACTAAGCACATTGAGGTCGACCGCTATTTTAACAAAGAGAAGCTTGATAGCAGGTTGATCACCACTCCATATATCCCTTCTGGAAGTCAATTAGCTGATATTCTGACAAATGAACTTCCCTCATAAAGGTTTGAAGAGTTTACTAACAAGCTGAGAATGATAAATATCTTTTCCTCAGCTTGAGGGGGAGTGTTGTAAATAATTGTATTTGTTTATTTATTTATTTTTTCATTCTAGAATCTTCTTTGGGCTTAGCCCATTAGGTTATTTAGTCTTTTTAAATAGAGAACAATTGTACAGATGTAATATACAATTTTATCAATAAAATGATCTCTTTATCAACTCCCTAGGACAATTATCCAATATATTATTTAAAACAATAGTAACATTTGCCTGGATTATGTAAGCATAATAAAATTGGGTACGTAAAGTTGCTTAGTTGGAAGAATAAAGTAACTTTGTCTTGCCATAGAGCTTAATGGACCGAGTTCTGGTGCATTTAAGCTTGAGGTAGGTATATCTGCGAAATCACCTATGTTTATGGATGCCATGTTCTGGGATGAATCTCTAAATTCTTTGACACACTTGAATATAAAATAATATCTTGTGTATTGATCTAATTCAGAGAGTTACAATATATAGAGACCCTAATGGGCTTAAGTGAAAGACCCAGACCTAATCCAAACAGAATATTTACACATAGGAAGTAATCCAATCATATCTAATCATATCTAATATATTCTAACACTCCCCCTCAAGTTGGTGCGTATATATTGTGAGCACCAAGCTTGCTACAAATGTATTCAACCCGAGGACCTCTTAGAGCTTTAGTGAAGACATCTGCTAGTTGATCAGAAGAGTTGACAAAAGATGTCATGATTTCTTCTGACTGAATCTTTTCTCGAATGAAGTGACAATCAATCTCTATATGTTTGGTTCTCTCATGAAATACAGGATTAAAGGATATATGTAGCGCAACTTGATTATCACAAATGAGTGTCATGGATTGTTTCTGTTCACAAAGATGAAGCTCTTGAATCAACTGCTTCAACCAGATTAACTCACAGGTAGTATTTGCTATTGCACGATACTCAACTTCTGCACTGGATCGAGCAACAACAGGTTGTTTCTTGCTTTTCCAAGAAATTAAGTTTCTTCCAAAGAAGACACAATAGCCGGAAGTAGAGCGCCTGTCCGAGGGTGATCCTGCCTAATCAGCATCTGAATAACCACAAATTTCTGTATTTCCCTGATCCGAATACAACAAACCTTTTCCTGGTGCTCCTTTGATGTATCGAAGGATCCTTACAGCAGCATCCCAGTGAGAGCCACAAGGGGAATCAAGGAACTGACTAGCCGTACTAACAACGAAAGAAATGTCTGGCCTAGTCACAGTAAGATAATTAAGCTTCCCAATTAGCCTCCGATAACGTCTAGGATCAGATAATGGCTGCTCTTGTCCGGGCAATAACTTGACATTGGGAATGACTCGTTCGGGAATGACTCAGAAGGGGTTTACAGCCCTTGATGGCTTGCCGGAAGCACGCACGGCAAAGAAAAGAGGACTCCTAAGCAGTGGGCTTAGGTTTTAAAGCGAAAACAAGGTTTTAAGCGGAAGCGAGGGTCCCCAGAACAAAAGAGCTCTGGTACCAACTTGAATATAAAATAATATGTTGTGTATTGATCTTATTCAGAGAGTTACAATATATAGAGACTCTAATGGGCCTAAGTGAAAAACCCAGACCTAATCCAAATAGAATATTTACAGATAGGAAGTAATCCGATCATATCTAATCATATTTAATTATATCTAATATCTTCTAACAGACACTATAATGAATAATCAAATATAAATTATGATCACCAAACTCCTTTGGCACAGGTGGTAAGGAGCCTGGGTCCCTTAACCAGAGGTCTCAAGTTCGAGCCCTGGGAATGGAAAAAAAAGATTTGGAAGAGCTGCCCCCGAAAGGGTCCGACAGTGCTCAATTGGGGATTAGTCTTCGGTTACGGCCAGAGGATACCATTCAGATTACCGAAAAAAAATAAATATAAATTATGATCTGATAGACTGATTAAGTGATTATTCTCTGAAAAACTTCTCTCACTTGAAAAGTCTTAGTAATTGCATTGCAATTCTTTTAGGCTACCTTTGAAGCATATATTGGAGTCAAGGACGATGAAGCAACGGCTCAATTAAAACTTTTTGGTGATAATCTGCAGGTACTACGTTCCAAGCATTTCAATGTGAATGAGTTTTGTAGTTTTATTTTATTTTTCTTTTTTCTATGACTGCCATCTTAAATACTTCTGCTACTGAAGCTGCTGGAGGAAAATCTCCCAATGGACAGTGCGTACAAATCAAAAGATGTAAATGCAGCACCTATCCGTGTTATCCAGCTTTTATATAATGCAGGGGTGAGTGTTAGGAATGTTTGAATATTGAGTGTCTTTCTCTCTCAATATATATATATATATATATATATATATATATATATATATATATATATATATGCGTGTGTGCTTGAACTAATCTACAGTCCAAAATACTAGTATAAGACATGATTTACTTGGAATGCTTTTGAAAAGTAAATAAAAACCAAATTCCTTAAGAATGATAATGGTACATCATGACAACAGAGCGGATAAACATTACAATCCATGTCATCTGCCTTAAGCAGTTATTGTGGTAGACAAAAATATCCCTGTATCCTTTCCAATGAAATTCACGAGGGGTTCTCAGTTGTAATGCAGTACTTTATGCTTAAAGTTACCAAACTGGAAAATTTACATTAATGAATTATTTCAGGATGTCAAGGGACCACAGACGCTTGCTTTCAACCTACCAAATGATGAGCGTATTGTGAAAGACCGAGGCACATCAATGGTTATGCTTAAGAATGTATCTGAGGCAAAGTAAAATTTGTGGCCCTGAAAATTTTAGTTTGTTGGAGTTAAAACTTATTATTGTGAATGGGTCTCTTCTGTTGTATTATTATTATTATTATTTTATTTTATTTTATTATTATTATTTTTTCTAAATCAATAGTTTATGTTGAGGAAACCTGGCAATTCTTAACAGGTTCAAGCATATTCTTCTCCCTATAGCTGATGCCTGTGTAGCAAAGGAACAAAAAGAACTTGTAGATTTTGAATCTTTTTTTACTCATACAATTTGCCATGAATGCTGCCATGGAATTGGACCTCATACCATAACACTTCCGAATGGTCAGAAGTCTACTGTGAGATTGGTCAGTTAGATAATATGCCTCATTTCAGCAATTTCTTTCAATGCTGAAACTTCTGCAGTAAACCTACCTTGTGATGGTGTTAGTATGGGCCACTAAATTCATTGTCGTATTATTATTAAAATGTTGCTTAACAATGAGGTCCTGCCATGGACATGATGCAACGTTACATTTTAAGCAGGTTTTCGTTTCTGGTATTAACTTAAATTTTTTTCAAGGATTAAACTTAGTGATTTAGGACCATTAGGCAAGCTAGAGAAAACACAAGATAACAGATGGAGAAGAGAAAGTGGGTGAGTGAGAGAGAGAATAGTACAGACTACAGATTGTCACTAAATATATTAATTCTGCAAAAGCTGGAAACAGGGGTGCATAATCATAGGGATGAATCATCTGATTTTAGGTTTTGATAGGATTTCACCTATTTACTATCTATAAAGAGAGAGATAGACACAATTTTCACATGAGCTTATCTAGTGAAAATCTCATGAGATAATTTACTTCCAATAATCATTCTGAAATAGGCAAATCTAGATAATGCTTATTGAACATGGATTGGGAAAAAGAAAAAAGAAAAAGCAATATCCTTAATACAGTAGAGAACAAAGGTGGTGGTAAATGGTGATTCAATTAATATGTCCCGAGTAACTCTGCTACTTTGTTTCTATATTGTCTGGCTTAAAAGATATTTTCCATCCTCAGTTGACAGAACTATCAGTCCTGTCTGCCATTTATGTCATGCTAAATCTTGTGTATTCAGTAACACCTTGGACTCCATCGACCAAGAAATGAGAAGCATCTTAAGTTCAGAAAATTACAACTGTGTGTATCACATCATTTTATTTCTATATAACATTAATATCAATAACTTACCTTTTGATATAGGAATTACAAGAGTTTCACTCAGCTATGGAAGAAGCAAAAGCTGATATAGTTGGCCTCTGGGCATTGAGGTTCTTAGTCTCCCAGGTTATTTACTTTTTTTTCTTCGAGATGAAATGAGAATTACAAAAGTTTCAATTGAAAGTAAAGGTTGTATACTATTGAATCGTAGTAATGCTGTACAAGATTTCTCTATTTAAAGTATTCTATCTAATACAAATAATAAACAAATAATTCTAATATTTATGTTAGAATAGATATGATTAGATATGATTAAGATATGATTAGATATGATTAGATATGATTAGATTACTTCCTATCTGTAAATATTCTTTTAGATTAGTTCTGGGCTTCTTACTTAAGCCCATTAGGGTCTCTATATATTGTAACTCTTTTTATCAGATTAATACACAATATATTATTTTCATATTCAAGTTGGTATCAGAGCTTTTTTGTTCTGGGGACCCTCGCTTCCGCTTAAAACCTTGTTTTCGCTTTAAAACCTAAGCCTACTGCTTAGGAGTCATCTTTTCTTTGTCATGCGTCCTTCCGGCAAGCCATCAAGGGCTGTAAGCCCCTTTTGAGTAATTTATGAACGCGTCAGCACCTCCGACGGCACCAGAACCACCGTCCGTCACTGTTCAGGCCGCCTGAGAAGTTTTCCGGCGAGTTTTCAGTCCAGACCACACGCGATCAGAACCGTCTCCTCCCGGCGACCAAGTCTGTGGAAGTCCGACCACCATCGCAGCCGTCACGCGCCGCCCATCTCCTCTGCGCGTGGGCCTCACGCGCCATTTTCTGCCGGCGCATGTGCTCTGTTCCGGCAGCTTTTTCCGGTCGGTCTTGGACAGAAAGGCTCGCCTTCTTCTCCTTTTTCCAGATCTGTGGTTGGTTCTCTGTGGGTCTGACTTTTTATGTGCACCTCTTCTTGATCGGTGTTCAGGTTCGTTCTTTTTTACTCGGTTTATACCTTTGTGATTTAGTATAATGGCAACAACTTCTCCTGTTCATTCGGAGGTCAGTTCTCCCTCTCCTCCTGTCAAACGTTCTCCTAATATCATCTCCACCAATGTTGGGCCCATTACCTCTTCAAAGTTGAAGGATTTTGTTAATTACAAGAACTGGGCCACCTCTCTTCGAGTTTGGTTCTTTGGACAGGGACATGGGAACCATCTCACGACTAAATCTACTGATGTTCCTAAGGAGGAAAAATCTGATTGGGAAAAGATTGACAACCAGCGTCTGAGTATCCTTTGGCAGTCTATTGATCCAGTAGTCTTGGACATCTTCTACTCTTTTAAACTTGCACTGAAGTGTGGGAGGAAGCAAAACACCTCTACACTAATGATGTTCAGCAGCTCTATTTTATCATGTCTCAGTTTATGGATCTGTGCAAATCATCTGACATTCAGATGGAGACATATGTTGGCAAAAGTCGATCTTTGATGCAGGCATATTTGGATATGTTGCCCTACCCTACTGATGCTTCTGCATATCGGAATCAGGTAGAACGTCTCTTTATGGTTGCCACACTTTCTGGTCTCCCTGCGGAATATGATAATGTCCGCGTCCTCCCTGGCCTCTACCACGACCACGTCCACCTCCAATGTTCCCGCGAAAGTTAGTGCGGGAAACTAGAGCAGTAGGATCAACAACAGCAGGCGATGCAGGAGCAGAATTCTTATTAAGATTCAGAAGACGCTGATACGTCATCGATAGATCAGGAGAACGTGGTCAGCGACCTCGTTGTCACTATTGTGAGCAACTTGGTCATTATGAGGAACATTGCGACATAAAGTATCCTCACCTGCGACCTTCTCATGCTGCTAATATAGATCAATCGGGTACTGCTTCAAATGGTACAATCTCTCTCTCCTTTGAAGACTATGCAGCTCTCTAGACCTTTCTCAGGAAGGTCTCTCCTCAGTCTCAGGCCTTTGCTTCAGAAACTGGTAATCCCGTTTTTTGTGTTTTCTTATTCTGCATCACTTGGTCCTTGGATATTTGACTCAGGTGCTACTGATCATCCATGTGGTAATAAGGAACTCTTTTCATCCCTTACATATTCTGATAATTTACCCTCTTTTACTCTTGCGATGGCACTAAGGCCCCTGTTCATGGGATTGGACAAATCTGTCCAACCTCCTCATTGACCTTGACATCTGTCTATTACATTCCTAACATCCCTTATAATTTAATATCTGTTAGTAAATTGATCAAGGAAAGCACATACGCTCCTCCTTTGCTATTCGAGTCAATAAACGAGCTGATGCTCCTTTTTCAATTATTCATTCAGATATTTGGGGTCCTAGTCGTAGTGTGTCTGTTTTAGGTTTTTGGTATTTTGTTACCTTTATTGATGATTTTTCACGTTGTACTTGGATTTATTTAATGAAAAACCGTTCTGAGTTATTTTCTATTTATCAAAAATTTTCTGCTGAAATTCATACTCAATTTGGTGTTTCTATTCGTATTTTACGTAGTGACAATGCTAAGGAATATGTTTCTGTTGACTTTTCTAATTTCTTAGCCACTAAGAGTACTTTACACCAAACTACTTATCCTTACACTCCACAACAAAATGGAGTAGCTGAACATAAGAATAGACATCTCATTGAGACTGCACGGACTCTTCTTATTCACATGCATGTTCCTCTTCTCTTCTGGGCCGATGCAGTCCTTGCCTCTTGTTTTCTCATCAACTGTATGCCTTCATCTGTGATTAATAATGACATTCCTTATAACTTATTGCTTCCAGATGTTCCTCTCTATCCTCTATCCCCACATGTCTTTGGTTGTACCTGTTTTGTTCATGATCTCACTCCTGGTAAGGATAAGTTAACATCCAAAGCCTTTAAATGTATTTTTCTTGGTTATTCTTGTCTTCAAAAGGGTTATCGTTGTTATTCTCCCGATCTTAAGCGTTACTTTGTTTCCGCTGATGTTAGTTTTCTTGATCAACAACCCTTTAATTCTATCACATCTCAATTGTCACAGGTTGATCATGTTCTTCCTGTTTCTTTTCTTGACATGTCTTTGCCAGCTGCAGGTGCTTCTATTCCAGATGAGCTACCTATTGCTTCTATACCTGAGGACCGTCCACTTCTCACCTATCAGCGTCGCAAAACTATGCCTCCTGTCGACTCGACTCTTGCTGACTCATCACCCACTGCTATTGATTCTTCCCCTCCGACTCCTTCACCAGAGGCTCTTCCCATTGCTCAAAGAAAAGGACACGTACTACTCGTAACCCTTATCCTCTTTATACCTTTTTGAGCTATGACCGTTTTTCTTCACCTCATTTCACCTTTGTTTCTAGTCTTTCTTCTGTTTCTATTCCTAAGACCACAGGTGAAGCACTTTCTCATCCAGGGTGGCGCCAAGCGATGCTTGATGAGATGACTGCACTTCATTCCAATGGCACTTGGGACCTTGTTTCTGCTCCTCCAGAGAAGTCTATAGTTGGTTGTCGCTTGGTTTTTAATGTGAAAGTTGGACCTGATGGTCATGTTGATCGACTCAAGGCACGCCTAGTTGCAAAGGGTTTTACTCAAATCTTCGGCCTTGATTATAGCGATACATTCTCTCCGGTCGCTAAGATGGCGTCAGTTCGCCTATTTCTTGCTCTTGCTGCTGTTCGTCACTGGCCACTCCTTCAACTTGACATCAAAAATGTCTTTCTTCATGGTGATTTACAAGAAGTATAAATGGAGCAACCACCTGGTTTTGTTGCTCAGGGGTAGTCTGGAAAGGTGTGTCGTCTTCGCAAATCCTTATATGGTCTCAAGCAGTCTCCTCGGGCATGGTTTAGTCGCTTCAGTTCTGCTGTTCAGGCGTTTGGTTTAATTCGCAGTAAAGTTGACCATTCTGTATTTTATAGGATCACATCTCCTGATAAGTGCATCTATTTGTTAGTCTATGTTGATGACATCATTCTCACCGGGAGTGATCAAGCTGGAATTCGTCAGTTAAAACAGTATTTATTCAGTCAATTTCAAACAAAGGACCTCGGGAAGCTGCGTTACTTCTTGGGTATTGAGAAACACAATCTAGCCAGGGCATTTCTATCTGTCAAAGGAAGTATGCCTTGGATATCCTAGAAGAGAATGTTGGGGTGTAAACCAACTTGATACACCCATGGATCCCAATGTCAAGTTATTGCTCGGACAGGGGGAGCCGTTATCTGATCTAGGTCGTTGTCGGAGGCTAATTGGGAAGCTCAATTATCTTACTGTGACTAGGCCAGACATTTCATTCGCTGTTAGTACGGCTAGTCAGTTCCTTGATTCCCCTTGTGATTCTCATTGGGATGCTGCTGTGAGGATCCTCCGATACATCAAAGAAGCACCAGGAAAAGGTTTGTTGTATTCGTATCAGGGAAATACAGAAATTTGTGGTTATTCAGATGCTGATTGGGCAGGATCACCCTCAGACAGCGCTCTACTTCTGGCTATTGTGTCTTCTTTAGAGGAAACTTAATTTCTTGGAAGAGCAAGAATGAACTTCTTGTTGCTCGATCTAGTGCAGAAGCTGAGTATCGTTCAATGGCAATTACTACATTTGAATTAATCTGGTTAAAGCAGTTGATTCAGGAGCTTCATCTTTGTGAACAGAAACAACCCATGACACTCATTTGTGATAATCAAGCTGAGCTACATATATTCTCTAATCCTGTATTTCATGAGAGAACCAAACATATAGAGATTGATTGTCACTTCATTCGAGAAAGGATTCAGTCAGGAGAAATGAAGACAACTTTTGTCAACTCTAATGATCAACTAGCAGATGTCTTCACTAAAGCTCTTAGAGGTCCTCGGGTTGAATATATTTGTAGCAAGCTTGATGCTCACAATATATACGCACCAGCTTGAGGGGGAGTGTTAGAATATATTAAATATGATTAGATATGATTAGTCTGTAATTATGCTGATTAGTCTGTAATTATGCTGATTGTATTAGGTCTGAGCCTTTCACTTAAGCCCATTAGAGTCTCTACATATTGTAACTCTCTGAATTAATGTGGGGGAGTGTTGATATATATATAGGCTCTTGTGTGTAGGGGCGTGTTGAGATATATAGTCCCACAT